GTTGTGTTCAGTAGTTAAAGAAACCGAGAAGCATGACAGACTCGAGCAATTTCTATTGGAAGAACGAAGCTGTTTGGAGAGGGTAGAGGAAGGTTTGATAGCCGATCAGGGCTCTTTGCAAGAAATTCTGTTTTTAAAGCAAATGGACATGTTTGAAGAAATGTACATGTGAGTGATGCCTGTGTGGCAAGGGAAGACTGAACCTTATCCTATAATGTTATGACTTATAAAGTTTATAACATTATTTTATTTGGTCTGTGTGTGGTTTGTGACTCACAAGTTTAACTTGTAACCTTAATCAGAGAAGTACAATCATCAGAAAGTTTAGCCTTCGCTTTGCCATTAACTGCCTGAGTGTCTCATACTTATATTATATTTTACTTGCAACCTAGCTGCAATAAAATGTGCACTCTGAAGAGTGCTTTTACTCAGTCAGTTATGAAACATAAATGTGATGCCTGTCTGGCAAGGGAAGACTGAACTTTAGAGAACATCTCAACTCATCTTGATTCTCAGTCCAAGTTGCCAAAGGGTGGACTGTTCCTGCACTCAGCTGCAGGTGTTGAAAACATTCATCACATTTCAGTTGATTGCATTCATTGCGCATTGAGTGCAGAAGGTGGGCCACACATATACAAAATTTGTCCCCTGAACTTGTATCCGTCTGAGACAGGTGGGGGTTGAGAGCATGGCAGTAGCTGGGGTGGTGGTGGTGGTGGCTCATTTTGTTTCTTCATTTTGATAGAATCTAATACTTCTTGTAATGTCAAAAGGTTTACTCGGTCATCATGGGCATATTGACAGTTTAACACTTTTCTACTGCACTGACTGAGAGTACACTACCTTAGCCGATATTTAGCTTCCAAAAAATTGGGAACAGGCCGCTGCCTCCTTACATCTGAGAATGAATTTTCAACAATATCATTGGCGAACAGTCCCATACGCACATAATCATATCCCTTCTCAAAAAGAAGGTGGTGTGCAATTTCAAGCAAAGATTCTGTAGCCATTATGGCATGAGTTTGACATGGCTTCCAATGTGCCCCAACTTTCATTGTTTTAAAAACTTCAATCACTAGCCTCATCACTGAGATTGCCTCTTCATAAGCAGTCATATTTTTTAGACTCAGAGCATTCACTAAAGATCTTGAAGATAAGATTTTGAACCACTTGTTCAATAAATCCATGAACCACGCAGTGGTTTTGACTTTGGCGTCAAACACATTTTGATATGCAAGGAAATCCAAGGCCCCTGCACCGTGATGGCTAAAAACATGACATGCTCCATTTGTGTTCATTTTACCAAAATGACTTAGGTACAAATCTTTCACTGTGAGCCGAGGGGCAAATTTGAATTCCATATCCTCTTGGTACTTGACTAGTGCCTCTATGTGAGCTACACAAACCAAAGGAGATGGCAAATTATACTTGGTGACAACATCTTTATGGAGTACTGCTTCCTTATTATTCACCAGCATCTCTTTAATAGATTTAAACACATGAACAACATCCGGCACCAAGCGTAGTGTCTTCTCGGGTTGAAATGGGTTGGGGATTGAGTACTTCATAACAGCTTTAGTAGTGTCGAACCCAAGCTGGCTCAGAACGTCTCTGTTTCCCATATCACAGACAAGGGCCATTACATTGCTATCAGCAGCAAACTTCAGAATATCTCTCAGCACTTGAGCCCGTTGAGGGGCACAACCATGGCCAAGAGTGCCATGGTACGCAGCACTTATCTTCCACCTGCTCCTGATACCTCCCAACATAAAGTGTTCAACTTTTTTAGCCAGGCCATTGGCACCAGGGAGGGTGACTTTCCCTACAAAGTCACAAATGCCCATGTCATAACAAACCTGAAAGAGGAAAGAGGAATTCATCCGATGATAGCGTCAAGGTAGCGCCCTGGTAAAGCCATTGCACAACTTGCAAAGTTGGGTAGCCGCGTTTTGCGTCATCAAGAATTTTTGGCTGTCTAAGCGGGGATGTATATTTTTTGTCCCACCAATTAAAACAAGCAGGCCGCCCGTCCAGGGGCAGGGGCCGGGCCTGCTTGGCCTGCCGGCGGCGATCCGACCATTCTGTCACGCGATTTGCTGAAGAACATGATCGACTAATGTAGCGGGCCAAGGCCCGCTTAAACCCGTCATCTTTGAGTTTGCCCCAAAGACTCGAGAAAGGGATGTAACGGTGAAGCACCGCGACTTCAACCCACCCTTATGCTTAGAAAACGTTTTTTGGGGGTGGGGGGAGAGTTTCCTTTCTATTTTGCGGTTTTTAGGCCTTTTTCTACATCTTATTGTTCACTATGGCAACTTTTGGCTTATTTTCGTCTAAAAAGACCCTCTAGCGCGTAAACAGTTAGAGATCGAGCAAAACGGACGAAATTTTCAAGGGCTCTACTTACACGAGTTGACCCTTAGGAGACCATCCAATATTTTCGGAAATTAATAAATTTATTTTTGGGCCACTTTTGTGAGAGAAACTCCCTCTAGTGCCCAAACGGTGACAGAGCAAAACGGACGAAATTTTCGCCCGAAGAACTCTACTTTCTCAAGTTACTCCTTGGGAGATCATAAAAAACAAATATTTTCCCCAACTTTTTTGGCCTCTCCTGTTTTCTTTGATACTCACTTTCAGCCCCTTAGGGGTGGCTGGCTGGATTTGCCGTTGGCGTTCTGTTTTGTGGGAGTGAACCTTGAGATCCCTGAAAATGTGAAGTCTCTAGCACATCTCCTTCTTGTGCATCAGACAGACAGACACGAGGTCGTTTGCAGAAGCCCGCTGGATAGCTTTTTCAAAGCAGAAGGGCGGGCTAAAAACAGCTGAGTAAAGCATTAAGTGGCAGCAACCCAGGTAAACAATGACAAGCAAATACGATATGTGTAACCAGATTTCCTAATTTTTTCTAGGACTCTTACTCGCTGGGAATGAAATGTTACCTTGAGCTCGAGGGGCACAGCAAGTGCACTGACTGTCCGCCTGATATAACGACCCTCCCTACGTACAAGTGGCTATCTTTTTGAGCGTGGCACACAAACGGCTAACTGCTTTTCCCACCTCGCGACTTTGGGTTCTCACATAGCTGGATAGCTTTTTCAAAGCAGAAGGGCGGGCTAAAAAACCAACGAGAAAATCCCATTTCTTAGGACAAATGACAGGGAGAACAAAAAACACACCACCAAAATACAATCTTAAAAATGTATAAAAATACCCTTTTTAGCCCGCCCTTCTGCTTTGAAAAAGCTATCCAGCGGGCTTATGCAAACGACCTTGTGTCTGTGTGTCTGTCTGTATGTGTGTCTGTCTGTCTGTTCCACAAGAAGATGTGCTAGAGACTTCAAATTTTCAGGAGATCTCAAGGTTCACTCCCACAAAACACAACGCCACGCTCAAAAAGATAGCAATTTCCCCCTTAAATTTTAATGTGAACAAATTGGCATAATAATACTGAAACGATTCATTACATTAGCTTCTGATTTTTCTGTACACTGCAGCCAAATATCTAGGAAATTTATGTGGATCAGAATAATTCAATTGTCAACTGAAAATTTTCATATTTACGTTGGTTAATTTCCTGTGCACTGAAAATTCTAAACAATTTGTCTATTAGAAATATTTCAAAGTTTAGAAAGCTGATCGTTCGCCAAGCTAGCTTGCTTGAGTGAACACCGCAATAACATTCACGACAAGGAACGTGAACTTTTCGAAAATATTACTACCATAGCTTCAGATTAAGAGATCTCTGATAATGTTTTCATACATAAAAAACGTATACCTTTAGACGTATTGTATATTATACATTGACACCTAAAATTTTAAATGAGGTAAAAACATAATATCTATTTTTAGTTATAGGTTGGCTGCATCAGTATACTTTCCGCCCCGTTTCAAACGAAATTATTACAAGGCGGAACTACCGTCCCAGCCAACAATCAAGACCGTGGCTGGCGCCCAGCGGCCGCGTTCAAAACAGCGTCTGTGCTGCATCTTTATACACGGCGGCCAGTTGTCATTATTTAAACGTGACCACCGAATCGACGCCAGGGTCAAATAATTTTTGGGTAGGGTTGTACAAAGCAACAGGCGACCGATTCCATTGGTCAAACTTTCCCGCGGAAATGTGTGATTGGCCGAAATTTATCTGGCTCGACTCGGCCTGCTGCTCAGCTCGTCATTTCCATGGAAACGAGTGGATGCAAACTCAAATTTCTCAAATTTTATCAGACAAAATTGCATTAAACATATCTGAAAAAATTTCTAATTTTCTGAAGTATTTTTTATTCAAATTTCATTAAATTCGCTTGGCTCTGCCATAAGGGGCCATCGTCAAGAATAAACTTTCGGGCGAATGCAATAGGCACCCCTAATCGGGGGTCTATAAAGGCCTAAAAACCGCAAAATAGAAAGGAAACTCCCCCCCCACCCCCAAAAAACGTTTTCTAAGCAGAAGGGTGGGTTGTAGTCGCGGTGCTTCACCGTTACCTCCCTTTCTCGAGTCTTCAGGGCAAACTCAAAGATGACTGGTTTAAGCGGGGCGAAGGCCCGCTACATCAGTCGATCATGTTCTTCAACAAATCGCGTGACAGAAATGGTCGGGCCGCAGGCCCGACCATCGCCGTCGGCAGGCCAAGCAGGCCCGGCCCCTGCCGAACGGAGTTGCCGGCGGAGCGAAGCGGAGCTGGCAACTTCGTTTGGCGGAAGGGCGGACCTGCTTGTTTTAATTGGTGGGACAAAAAATATACATCCCCGCTTAGACAGCCAAAAATTCTTGATGACGCAAAACGCGGCTACCCAACTTCGCAAGTTGTGCAATGGCTTTACCAGGGCGCTATCTTGACGCTATCATCGGATGAATTCCCCTTTCTTGGCGATTGGCGAGAAGCTGCTGCGTGCTGCGTTCCCATATCTTATTTGTCTACAGTTCGTCACAAATCGTCAGGTGTGGGCCCCCACCGCCCCGCGCCCCGCCCCCGCCAGGACGGTCTGCTATAAAACCTTCCTGGGTCGGCACCACCCGCAGAACGGACGGGGCTACTTAACGGGTCTGGCCGAGTCGTCCTGCTCATTTCGGCCGTCGACATGGAGGCGGCAACGACCACACTGCTGGCCTCAGGCGCCCAGAACGCCTGCCCCGCCGTCTCCCTCTTCACGCTCTTCTTCGTGACGCTGAGCGCGCGCCGGGACCGCGACGAGCTGAAGCGGCCGCCGCCGCCCCTGCAGTCGCCCGCCTTCGACTTCATCGTCGTGGGCGGCGGGTCGGCGGGCTCCGTCCTGGCCAGCCGCCTTAGCGAAGTCCAGCACTGGAGGGTGCTGCTCCTGGAGGCCGGCGGCACGGAGCCCCCGGAGACCCAGGTCCCCGCCACCTACAGGTGCGTGGCCCTGGACTTGGGCGACCCCCTGATCCCCAGTATCACTGCTTCCTGCACGCCCCGCCCTGTCCACCGGCTCCCGACGCCATACCCGCCAAACATTTCGCCCACACCGCCTTATCTCCCGACATGCGAGTGTTCACGTCTGGAATTCCCCGTGGCCTGGTCACTCCTCACTCCGGCCGTGGCATGCCATTTTCTTGCTCTTTCTTTCGGTGAGAAACCCATCCGCTTCCGCAACATTTGTATGTCTCCCACCCCTACCCTTTCTCTCTCTCTCTCTCTCTCTCTCTCTCTCTCTCTCTCTCTCTCTCTCTCTCTCTCTCTATATCTCTGTACAGCTACACATGACGCCGCGGCAACATCACACACACACACACACGCAGCACACTAACCACCCACCCACACGCCGGCTTATCATTCGTTATTACTGCTCGCAGGAACCTGCAGCTCACCGACATGAACTGGCGCTACCGGTCGGAGCGCGAGCAGGGCCACTGCAACAACACGGGCTGCCCTTGCCCCAAGGGGAAGGTCCTGGGCGGCTCGAGCGCCATCAACGGCCACGTCTACATCCGCGGCAGCCGGGAGTAAGCGATGAGTCAGGGCTCGGGGTTGTGACTTTGAGTTGCCCATCTTTTTTTTACGACGATGATTTTAACCCCTCCCCTTCTGCTCCTTTCGTATCCGTCGGGGTAAATCGACCTGTTATATCCTCGAACGGGTGGGGTTGGGGTTCTGGAGTAGTCGGGATGAGTATCGAGTAGACGTTATCCCTGCTCAGTAGTACAGAGTTGTTCCGCCACCCGCAGAGACTACGACGACTGGGGTAACGTGCTGGAGGACGAAAGCTGGCTCTTCCCCTCCGTCCTTCCCTTCTTCCTGCGCTCGGAGAACGCCCTGGAGGAGGACTTGGCGAGGGACACCACGTTCCACTCCAGGGGCGGGCCTCTCCCCGTCCAGCGCCTGCCCGCCGTGGACCCCGTCAGCAAGGTGCTGGTGCAGGCCATGAAGGACATCGGCCTCGACGAGCGGGACCCCAACGGCGCCGTGCAGGCGGGCGTCTCCATGGCGCAGACCACGACCATCAACGGCGAGCGGGCGAGCGCCAACACGGCCTTCCTCAGGCCCGTGCTCGACCGGCCCAACCTGGAGGTGCGCACGCGCGCGCACGTCACCAGGGTCCTGTTCCGCCGCGGCGAGGCCAGCGGCGTGGAGTACCGCGACGGATACACCGGCACGCTCAAGAGGGCGTACGCGAGCAAGGAGGTGGTGCTGAGCGCCGGCGTCATGAACTCGCCCCAGGTGCGTTCGCTAGTGTACGTCGATTGCCGACATACCTGAGGGGGTGAGCAGCTGGACTGTCGATTGCGGACATTGAGGGAAGAAACGGGGGATTATGAGGGGAAAAAGAGAAATTGTCGATTGCGGACATCCCCGGGCGAATACAGAATACACGTGCGGTGCGATAGGGAGCAACGGTCGGCCACTGTCTAAGGGCCTAACAACGGGCTCTATTGCCTGAGTATTTGTTTGCAGCTACAATGTCCGCCTGCAATTTCTTTCCTGTTTGCCTGTTTGTAAATAACAATTAAGCAAACCGAAACTAACAAACCTAACTCAATGCAGGAAATTAGACACGATATTGTTTGATGAGAAGAGTTAAGCGAAGCTAGAGCAAAGCTTATTAAATTAAAAAATGAAGCAAACCTAAACTAACAAAACCTATCTCTATACAGGAAATCAGAAACGTACTGCTGTTGTTGCTGTACCAGATGCTGTTGGTGTTCATTGAGCGCAGTAAGAGTTATTATTTTAGTTTTTGATAGCGTGACCATTTAGTGGCCACGCCACTCTCATCTAGTGTGCGCGAGGCAGCGCGGCAGCAGTGCTCGCTCCGGGTTCCCCAGGACGCTAGCGCCTGAACGGGGATGTCCGCAATCGATAATTTCTCTTTTTCCCCTTTATAATCCCCTGTTTCTTCCCTCAATGTCCGCAATCGACGGGACCCCGCGTTCGCAGTGCATGCCTCGCGTTGGTCCGAGGGTCCATCCGGGGGTACTCCTGCCTAATCCAGGGTCGCTTGAGTCATCTAGGGGGTGCTCGACGTGCTCACTGATGTGCCCCGTGTCTCTTGTTGCAGATCCTTATGCTGTCCGGAATCGGCCCAAAGGAGCACCTCTCGTCACTCGGCATTAAGGTACGCTCCAAAACCGGACATGCGCCGAGGGATGCTTCACTTCAAGCGCACACGAATTTTTCTTTGTTTTCCATTTTTTTTTTTTTTTTTCGTTTTTTAGGGTGTACGTAGATATTTGTGAGTGAAGTACCCCTCGGCACACGCTGCGCCGACGGTGCGACTCACCCGCCTTTTGCCTCTGCTGCCCATAGGTCGTCAAGGACCTCCCCGACGTCGGCGAGAACCTGATGAACCACGTGTCCAGCCTCGGCGTCGAGTTCCTGCTGCCGCAGGGCTGGCCCGCCCTGCCCGCCGACATCAACGCCCGCGAGCAGGACTTCACGAACTTCGTCCCGGGCGGCCCGCTGTCGTCCATCGGGCCGGAGGAGGTGACCGCCTTCGTCAGAGGGCCGGAGCCGTCCGTCGACAGCCGGCCTGTGTGGAACCTGCGGTTCTTAGGCATCATCCCCAAGGTGAGTCATCGTCCCCGCAGCACCACCCCGTCGTCACGCAGCCTCTGACTAAAACACCCCGGTGTGCCACAGTCGCGCGGCGGGAACGTGTGCAACCGCGCGCCGCCGCAGGATCCGCTGTACTACGACCGCATCCAGGTGACGCCCGTGCTGCTGGACTGCAAGAGCGTGGGCTCGGTGCGGCTGCGTAGCGCTGACCCGCTCGCGCCGCCGCTCATCCGGCTCAACCTGCTCGGCGACAAGCCCGGCCGCGACCTGCGGCTGCTCGTGCAGGCGCTGCAGATGTCGGCCGCGCTCGAGAACACGCCCGCCTTCCGCGCCGCCAACCTCACGCTGAACCGTGCGCCTCTGGCCGGCTGCGAGCAGCACGCCTTCGGCTCGACGGCCTACTGGGAGTGCGCGGCGCGCACGCACACGCTCAACCCCTCCCACACGGCGGGCACGGCGCGCATGGCGGCGCCCGGGCGGCCCGGCGTGCTCGACTCCAGGATGCAGGTGCGCGGCGTGCCGAGGCTCCGCGTCGTGGACGCCAGCTCCTTCCCGCTGCTGCCCAGCGGCCTCCCCAACGCCCCCGTCATCATGCTGGCCGAGCGGGGCGCGGACTTCATCCGGCAGACCTGGGGGTAGGCCGCCCGCGGCGCCCAGGACGAATGACCACCAAAAGTCCTCATCCTCCCCCTCACGTCCCACGGTGGGACCGCAGAAGTGGGGGGCAAGGGGGCTCAAATGCCCCCCCCCCCCGTTTTTCTACCTTAAGCGCAGATGTTCTCTAATATGTGTTCTGAATTCTGTAATGAATGCAGTAGAACTACAACTCTAAG